AAAGGAATGCATTTTGTTTCATAAAAGGTTGTTTGGGTCAGGTGTCATTTTTGTCAGTAGCTGAAAATTAAGTTAGCATGCAAGTGAGATGATGACAGTGTCAGTGGGTGAAGTGATGCAAGGGACTGAAGAGAAGCGAAAGACCAGGGACGACTGGCGGGGTATTTGGTCCGTGGAGCACCCTGGACCACTGCGGAGGGCTCTTCCACTTAAGAGCCTGTTTTGGTGCAAATCTGCTTGGCCCACCCAAAGGAGCCACTTTAATCCACCTTGGCTCATGCATCAAAGGTCAAGGCAATTGCTTCTGCTGGATCACAGTGTAATGAATCACCAACAATCACTACCTATGCTATTTGGAATTCATTATACCACAAAAACATGCACATTCCTTATCACAAAGCATCTCAAAGCCTAAAAAGTAATGGCTGCCTTGGAGTAACCTCCTATCCTCTCTCCCACTTCCCAGGGGTAGAAATGACTGTGTTCCTGTTTTCTACCTTTGGATACCTGTACCCGGGGATGTTCCTGAATGAGCTTATCTAGGAATTTAAGCCCTTCATGTGTTCCCAGTTGAATGGCTTGCCCCAGACTCCTTGGTTACTTGAGTATTTAAATGTTCCCAACCAAGAGGTCTTCCCCTGGCCTTGCCTCATTAGTGACAGGTCCCCCTCCTAAGACGAACAGCTCCTTTCTCTTGCCCTCTGGATCCTCCAGTGACCCAAACCAAGTCACCAACCTGAGCCAAGAGATTTGAACTTAGCTGAGCCAGGTTACCCAACAAAGCCACACCTTTAGCACAGAGGAGGTGAGTGGAGGCCACGTGAGGTGTGCTCACAAACAGCTTTTCCATTACTTAGGGAGATTACTCCAGAGCTTGGCTTCCCCAATGGGAGGACTCACCCCCAAGACACACATCCACACAGCAGCTGGGTACTCTCCGGGCATAAAGGGCTCCTGCCCTCCAGACTTTCCAATAATCAGGTCAACTGAATGCATGAATGGTCGTTTCATGTACTCCTGTTCTAGCAGCACAAGTAACCCTGGGAACACTAGGTTTTCACAGGACAAGTCTCTCTGTGCATATTAAATACGCCATGAGCTTCACAAAAGTTGGGGGTGGATGCCGCTACTGAATTGAGGATCCAAGACACATGCTAATCATGATAAACTGCAGAAGCAGGTTTATTTGTTGGAGAATATAAAAGAATGTTTGCTATTCTTTAGTCAGCGGCTGTTCTACATACTTTATTGATTCCTACAACCCTGGAAAATAGATAGCTACTAGTCCAGAGTCCAGATTTACAGATGAGGAAACTGGAGCTCAGAGACCACATGACTCGCACACAGCCACACAGTGAGGAAGCTGCCACTGGGCAGGACTGGGATTTGAACTCAAGTCTGTCTGCTTCCAGAGGCCAGGAACTTCCCTTTGCCAAAAACAGGGCCTAAGAGACCCTAGGGCTCCCTGGAACCAAACAGGGCTTCGTTCTGAGGGCAGGAGGACAACCCTGTAACCCAAGGTGCCATTGTACCTTGCTTTCTGGAATGTGACAGCCTCACAGATAAGAAGCTGAGGCTATTCCAAATTCCAGGTTTGCTTTTTGCTAGCTGATGGAAATAGGAAAAAAGAAAAGAAGAGAAAAAGACATGAAAAACCTTCTTGAAGTCAGGATGTATAAAGAAATATTATTTTTGAGGTGGCAAGAATAAATATTTAATCAGACAATCTGACACTAAATTTTGACTACCTCTGCAACATCTCAGGCAATCAAACAAGCCCGGGTCCAAAGGGCTAATTACAGACTACTAAATTATTTTTATGAAGCTCTCTGGTGTAGTAAACATGAGAGATGAAGCAATGTAGTGTCACAGAATAGTTCAAATCTAGCAATCTACGTTCTAATCCTGGCTCAGCCACTAATAACCACCAGCACTCCTAGGCACAGCATTACACCACTTATGCAATGTCTTTTTTTTTTTCAGACTTCTTTATTAGCTGGATGATGTTGGGCAAGTCTCTCAAGTCTCATGTCAAAATCTGGAGACACGAGACCATACCTTCTGGGGTCCTCTTGGGCTCCTATGTCCTAAAGCGGAGGAGGAAGACATACGCTTCAGGGTCTCTCTGAATGTGTTTATAAACAAGTCAGGACAGTTGTATTCTAGCTCAGGAAAGTCACAGTGTCTGCCCAACTCCCAAAAAAAGTCACACGGCTTGATTCAGGCAGTTCCTCGACTGGCTAACTGCTCAGTTTCTAGATAACACCACCTCAAGGCCTTTGAGATTCCTATCCGGGAACTTGGTGCCATTCAATAGACACCTGCCATGCCTCACACCAACTGACTGTCTTGAATGAGGCCCCAAGGACCAGCCTGGAGAGGACACCAGAGGACAACCACAGCATCCTGCAAGACTGCAGGAAAGACCCCTCTTCCTTGGTTCTAAGATGCACAAATACCTCCTCCAAGTCTCACCATTGTTTAACTGCTTGAATATTTCCGAAGTTGGAATGTACCTTGAAATCAATACATGCATTAAATCTTTTCCCTAAAAACTGGTGTGTCTTACAATCAAGGAAAAAGAACCCTAACAAAACAAAACAAAATGTAACATCTCACTCATAGACTCAGTTCCAGCCTAGTTCAAATTATGAAACTTCCCCCTTGTCTTTAAGACTGATTTGTTTATTCAAAAGACAAAGTGACAGAGAGGGACACACATACACACACATGGGACTGGTAGGGGAATGCTCCATCTGCTGGTTCACTCCCCAAACACCAGCAACAGCCAGGCTGAAGCCAGGAGCCAGGAACTTCACCTGGGTCCCCCACATGGGTGGTAGGAATGCAAGCATGTGGGCCATCTGCCTCGTGTCAGGTGCATTAGCAGGAAGCTGGACTGGATGTGTGGAGAATTTCCCTAATAAGGAATGTGTGCACCCCAAGCGGTGGCTTAACCCACTGCACCCCACCCCTTCTCAACAATCACATTCAGTAACAGCCGGACAAGAATCAGTCCTGCTTCCTCAGCAGCAGTTTCAAACGTATTCCGTCATTATCTCATAAAACACTAGGATGGATTTCAAAGGCAAATTAGCCCACATAAACATCATCTCTGATGATCTGAAAATACACTGTCCCATGGCATACTGGAAAGGGGAGATATTCCTCACACCCTCCTGATCTGTCTAGTCTTGACACATTTTCTTGCTTCTTAATTCACAACCCTCCATCCCAGTAATATCGCTTGATTCCCAAAATACCCTCGGCCCATGAGGAGCAAGCTCTCGGGCACAGCTGTCCGCGCCTGCCCTGCCCCGGTATTTCGGTGAGCTATGCGACACACAGAGAGGACCACAGTGAAGGAATGGAACGCTCAGGCCCCCGCGGGTCCCACTGTGCCACAGGCAGGTGCATCCCACCAAACCCCAGACTGGCATTCACAACGCAGAAGTGGCCCTGCAAGCTGGGGGCCGGGGGCCGTACTTTTCCTCAACTTCATGTCTAGTTTAAAAGTAGGGCGACAGCCGTCTTTGCTACTGTAAACTAATCTGATGGGCAGGAGGGTGGGGAGTGGCTCCGGGGAGGACGCTGCCAACAGGCCATGATTGAGCAAAGCCGAGGAGCCAGCTCATCACTAATAAGCCCCGAAACTCCAAATGAGCTGCTCACCCCACCACGACTGTCAGAAGGGGGATGGACCACACCTTTCACAGCATGGAGTCGAGCCCCTACAGCCACTGGGACAGGACTGGCTCCTGTGCACACATATTTTCAAACAGTGCCCTGGAATTAGGAAGCCAATGAGGAAGAAAGAATCAAAGGACGTTGAATACGGAGGCAAGCATACCCAGCAGGCAGCAGTCCTCGAGTTGGGGCAAGTCTTTTTTTAAGAGCTTCTGGCTGTGGGCAACCAGCTCTGACTTCAGCTCAGTGTCTGCTGGGAGGGGAAAAACAACCACCGTTGGGCAATCTCCTTCATGCCAAGATCAGAGACTGCAAGGTGGGAAAGTGGAAAGTTAGCCACCAGCCCCAGGAATCGTCCAAGCGCACTAGTAGTCCTGTCCAGGCAGCAGGGCCAGCGGCCTCAGACCTTCCCTTCTTCTGTTAGTCAAACACAGGTATCTCTGTCAAGCCCCACCACCACCCCTTAAACAGAGTCAGGCCTGTTTCCAAACCCCACATCCCGCCACGGTCGTATTGTGAATTTTTTTTTAATGCATTTTAAAACAGCACTGCAAGATGCTTATTCATAACACCACACCGGAAGCACAGGCAACATTTTTTTCTTTTTTTTTTTTTTTTTTGCCCTCGCTGTTGCTGTCTCCCCTCTCCCCTACAAACCCCGCGGTCAGGCCAGGAGCTGGGCTTGGGAAGGCCACCGCCGGGCGCACACCAGCGGGGTCCACCCAGCAGTAGCTGATTCCGATGGGGCTGAATCCGGCTCATCAAAATCGACTCTGAAAGCCCCCAGCAGCCCCCAGCAGCAGGTTAGAACAGTCCAGACCTGCTCCCTCAGACCAGCCAGCGCAGGAGCGCGCGCTCAGAACTCCCACCCGCTTCGAGGGGAGCCCCCAGGTTGGGACCGGCGGAACGAGTCCCCTCCCCCCAGGCAGGTCTCCCTCCGTTCTCCCTTGTCACCTCTCATGGCAAACCCAGGAGGCCCAGGAGCAGCAGAGAGGGGACAAGGACGAGCGACGTAGTTGAGGCGGGAGGGGGGTGGATGCGGTAGCGCCCCATCTCTCGCGGAAGGACCTCTCAGATGGGTCGGCAGGGAGGGCGGGAAGGAAGGGGAGGAGGAGGAGTGGCTCGGGGAGCCCGGCCGCCGAGGCCGCAGGGAGCCCCGAGAGAGGGACGGAGCGCGGGGGGCGGGCAGCGGAGACGCGGCTAGGGGGGCGCGGGTGGAGGGCGAGCGGGGAGCCCGGTTCCCCTCCCCCAGCCCCGGCCCGGGCCTCCCGCTGACTCAGCCCCACGGCGACTGTCGCCTCAGCCCGACTCACAGTGCGCGAGGCGGCTCCGGCGGAGGCGGCAGGGGCGGGGAGGGGACAGCGGCAGGGGCGCTGCGGCTGCGGCTGCGGCTCCGGCCGGCGGCTCGGGGCGGAGGGTCCTAGCAGAGGCCGCCGCGGTCTCCGGCTCCAACGCACAGACACTGCGGGGGAAGAGAGCACTGCGCAGGCGCGATGCGGCCAGGGCTGTCAGTCCGAGCGGGGCGGGGCCAGGGCGCCCGCCGTCTCCAAGGCAACCGGGCGGCGGGAGGACGACAGCCCCTACCTCCACCTTGTCCTAGCGACTGGCGGGTGAGGGGATAGGGCGGTGAGAACAGTCGCTCCTGGTCGCCGTAGCAACGAGGCGACCACACCAACTCGGTACTGACGGAACGCTCCTTCCCCGTCACCGTGGCAACTGGGAATCGCCCCTTTCCCTTTTCCTTAGCAACAGCCTAACAATTCCTCCGCTACAACCGTGTACACCTGATTCCCAGCTTAGCCGGACAACGGGTTCTTCTCTCTCGGCAGGGCTTCTTCCTCCGCCTTCAGCGACACCGCGAAGCTAAGGCCGGCTTTTCCCTCTTCTGTCAGCCGATGCTGGGCAATCATAGTCTGTTAACTCTCATCTCCAAGTTCAATTTCCCGTACCCAGCTTAGACATGCCCCTTGGCTTCCTACCAGAATAATCTACACCTTTACACCCAAGTGCGGGTGTCCCAAGCGTGTGTGCCTGTATCCCACATGTTTATCAAACCTGTGTCTCCCAGCGTGTTGGTGCTCACCCTCCTTTACAAGGGCATTGGGGTCCTCCACCCGCCACTCCAAGACTTATTTCTTTATTTACTCTTTCTTTTCTATTCTTCCTCTTTCTTTCTTTCTTTCTTTCTTTCTTTCTTTCTTTCTTTCTTTCTTTCTTTCTTTCTTTCTTTCTTTCTTTCTTCCTTTTTCTATCTTTTTCATACTTACGAATTTTTATTGGTAGGGCAGATTTACAGAGAGAAGGGGAGACAAAGATCTTCTATCCACTGGTTCACTCCCCAAATAGCTACAAGGGCTGAAGCTGGACTGACCCGAAGCCATGAGCCATGAGCTTCCTCCAGGTCTCTGATGTGGGTGCAAGGTCCAAGTGCTTGGGCCATCCTCTGCTGCTTTCCCAGGCCATAAGCAGGGAGTTGGGTCAGAAGTGGATCAGCCAGGACACAAACCAACACCCATATGGAATGCCAGCATCACAGGTAGAGGATTAGCCTATTGAGCCACCCCACTAGGCTCAATCACTGCAGCTTTTGTAGGTCTCCCAAGTTGGTCTAGCTCCCGCTTGCCGCTCCTGCCCTCCCCTGATCCCACCACTACCACCCCAGGGCTCCAGCAAGCTTCCCACCCCACACTGTGGGGTCCCTAGCTTGTATCTCTTCGTACGGCTTCTGGCTGTCCTTCCCACAGCCCCACAGCTGTCCTGAGGTCGCCCGGTCCCTGCCTTTGACACACCTTCTGCATCACATGCATTAGTCAGGATTGTCCGTTGTGTCCTTGTTGGGTGCCTGTCTCCCTGGTCAGACTCTGTGTCCCTGGTAGGCACAGGAATCCTGTCACATTCATCTGTCCTCTTGGCAGCTAGCACAGAGGGTGCCAACGTCCCCAGATTAGCCCAGGATTTCCTTCACTCTTTCTGGCCTAACCACCACCGAGGCTCCGCCCACCTGCCCTGGACTGTCCCAAGCAGGTTTTGTCTTTCAGGACTTCTGCTGTTGTTGGAACTCTCCCACCTGCTGAGCTCTTAATGCCAACACTCTAGTCTCCTACGCATAGGGACTCCGAATCTCTGTTTCCAGAATCCTAACCATTTCAAAATTTCCACTGGTTTCTTCCTTTTTTCAAATTTTATTTTTGATGATGTGTATGTAGTGGAGAATCCACTGGTTTCCGATGCCTCTGGAACTCTTGTCGTCTTCTGTGTGCAGCGTAAGTCACCACACCTATCAGTCTACTGTGCTGCCCACCCCAACGCTCACTGGGCACTGTTGGCAAACATCGCTGTGCTCATTGAGACCTCAGAAATGCTGTGTTGCCTTCCCAGAACTCAGGTATTGGAGCACATCCTCAGGGGACAGGAGAGGACACAGATTACAGAGTAGGAAAGAGAGGGACCCCACATGTCCTGAGCCAGTACCTCTAAGGACGCCTGGAAGACAATGATCCCCAAGATGATTGTGTGAATAGGAGAATTTCAAAAGTAAAATAAAATGTAAAAGCCCAGCCTTTGTGGCTACCGAGCTGCAGGACGGGAAGTGCTGTTGCTATGTGGCCAGGAAATTGAGGGCTACATAGACTCACCTGCCCTGCTGAAGCTCCAAGTCTGCCCTGTGGATGGCAGGTGTGGACCTGGGTGGACACGGTGACCTGCTCCAGCACCTTGGGTGGAAGAGCATTGGACAAAGACTCTGGCCATGCATTTCACCCACATTCCCCATGTACGACCCTTAACCCTATTTAGGTTACCATTTCTGCAAAACTAGCCACATCGTGGTTTAGGCAAGCAACTATTGCTTCCTCCCTGTTTCTGAGGGGCGAGGGATTGGACAGCTCCATTGGGTGGTGCTGGCCTGCCTGGAAGGCAGCCTTCTCTCTTGATGTTGTGTCAGAGTAGACTGGAGCTCTCTCACCTGTTGTGGCTGGGGGCCATTGACCTGCTTACCTGGGGGCTGAAGGTTTCAAGTGTGGGTGTCACGAAAGATGAGTCGAGTTCCATCCCCTCTTATAAGCTTGTTTCAGCATCATGCACTTCCCTTTGTTCTCTTCATTGATTGGGAGTGGAGATAAGACCCCTGAAGCATGGGCAGTAAAAACAAAAGTAGGTGGAGAAAGACCTACAGAATAGAAGAAAGGGTTTGCCAACTATTCATTGGGCAAAGGATTAGTATCCAGAACATACACGGGAAAAAAAATCACAACAAAAATCACCCCCCCCCCCAATAATTCAATTTAAAAATGGACTATTGGGCCTGGCGCGATGGCACAGTGGTTAAGGTCCTTGCCTTGCGTGCCCGGGATCCCATATGGCCGCCGGTTCTAATCCCGGCAGCCCTGCTTCCCATCCAGCTCCCTGCCTGTGGCCTGGGAAAGCAGTTGAGGAAGACCCAAGGCTTTGGGATCCTGCACCCGTGTGGGAGACCTGGAAGAGACTCCTGGCTTCAGATTGCCATAGCATCGGCCGTTGTGCTCACTTGGGGAGTGAATCATCGGACGGAAGATCTTCCTCTCTGTCTCTCCTCTCTGTATATCCGCCTTTCCAATAAAAATAAACTGAATCTTTTTTAAAAAATGGACTATTGATTTGGAGAGGAGTGTTTTTCAAAAAGAGATCTACATGTGGCCAATAAGCCCATGGAAAAAGTGCTCAGCATGACCAGTCAGCAGGTAATATAATCAAAGTCCTAAGGAGTTATCTCACCCCTGTTAGAATGGCTGTTACCAAAAAAGCTAAAAATAAAAGATTCCAGTGAGCACATTGACAGAAGGGAATTCTGCAACCTTGCAGGGATTCCTCAAAAAGCTAAAAATGGATCTACCTTGTGATTTAGTTATCCCAATTCTGGGTGCAGCAAAAGGAAATGAAATCAGAATATTTGAGATACCCACATCCTGTGTGTTTATTGCCACACTAGTCACAATGGCCAAGATATGGAATGAACCCACTTGCTCATCAGTAGGTAAATGAGAAATAGTGGTACATGAATTTGGGCATTTGTGCAGCAATGGATGGAAGTGTAGGATATTATGTTAATTGAAATAAACCAGACATAGGAGAAAAAATGCTGTATTTTTTTTTCTCATGTGGCAAAGCTAAGATGTGCACCTAAAAGAAGAGACTAGAATGGCGGTTATTACAGGCCAAACAGGGTAGAGGAGGGGCTGGAAGGAGCTTGGATAACAGGTACCAAAATGCAATTAGATAAGAGGACTAAGTTCTGGTGTGCCACAGCTCAGGGGGTGATTACAGCTTATAGCCACCTGTTAAGGACTACAAGTGCTGAGTTCAAAGGTTCAAACACAATGAAATGATAAGCTGGAAATGCTAATCGTCTTGATGTAATTATAACACACTGTCTACAAGTATTATCGCGCCCGTATCCCATAAATACATACACTTATTATGTGCCCATAAAAAGAAAATATAAAAGAATATGTGTATAGGAAATAGAAGCCACCTTTGCTTCCATCTGCCACAATTCATATTCTGCTCGTGCAAAACACACTCACCCCCCCAGCCCAAGACCCCAAATCACATTCCTTGACAGCGTGAGCCCCAAGACAGGATCTCCTCTGTGGAGGTAGGTCTTGGTGGAGGACATGGTTGCACAGGCCCAGGTCCTTAGCATAACTCCTGAGCTGGTACCAGTCCTTGGTCTGGAGCCCTGGGAAGTAGAGTCACCTGCCCCTCACATGTTCAATGAGCAGCAGTGGCCCCAGTACGAGGTAACTGCTGTGGACACTCTCGTTTCCGGAAGGAGCGAACCAGGTGCACACAGCGGTCACTCCTCGTCTGACATCCAGCTCCTCTGACCTGATGAGGGCTCCGGTGCACTCCCACTTACCCACCCCTGGGTGGGCCAGGATGTTTTCCCCACAGGTTATAATTCTTTCTTTGGATTATTTGTCTTGATACTCAAGCTGTTACAGATTGGGCCAGAGGCGTAGACTTCAAACTCCGCCCACCCTCTCATGTCCTTTGGACTTGTCCTGGTCATTCTTTGAGCACTTCCTGACTTTCTGGCACAAAGTGTTCCTGGCTCATCTCAAGCTTCCGCCCCAGCCATAGAATCAGCCACTTCTCCAAGGGGCCGGGGAGCCTCCTGACTTTATTTTTTTCCAATTGTTTCTTTAAAATTGTAATGAAGTACATATGACAAAATTTAACATTGTAGCCACTCTAAAGTACACAGTATGGTATTAAATGCATCATAATGTTGTATAACCAACACCACCATCCATCTCTTCATTTTATAAAATTGGAACTTGGGGCTGGCACCATGGCTCAACAGACTAATCCTTCAACCTCAAGTGCTGGCATCCATAAGAGTGCTGGTTCTAGTCTCAGCTGCTCCAGCTTCTGATCCAGCTCCTTGCTTATGGCCTGAGAAAGCACTGGATGATGAC